TGCTAAGAGGTAAACTACAGAGTAGAGACCATTTGTTTCCTCTGAAGTTGTCAGCCACGTTACTGGCAAAATATTATAAATACCAAATAATTAGACCATGGTCTACCAACCTGGATGTTCATCATTATTTGATTGATGCTGGCTATGAAAGCCTGCACTGATACATTATTTCTGCATTATTATTTGTACTGTAAGATGGAAAGCGATTTGATTAGATTGTGAAGACATAAAAGAGAAATATGCTGTTGATATGCCAGCTTGGACAGGTGTGATTTCCAGTATACTACATCACATAAAATATGTACAGGCATTAACTCTACTGTTTTTATAAGTCAGGGATGGGATACAATGAGATCTGGACCTTTTCTGTTTTCCTTTGTCACCATGCGGTGATAAAAGTATGAGGATATGTAGGGAATTATTATTCAACAACAACTGAAGGATTATGTCTCCAATATAGGCTCATTTTACATGAGATTCATACTACCTGATGTTTGTCATTATTAATTGAATATGTACAACTTTATCAGAGTCAGCTAATAATTTCAGTTCTTTTAGTTTAGCAGAGACAATAGTGTGGTAACTTCTTAACGTTAACGAATGTACTATGGCAGGGGTGTCAAACTCATGTCATCATGGGGGCATCACGTGACATATCGGGACTTTTTTCTCCTTTGCTAAACTTGAGGGTGGGCATGGCCAGCACATAATGTGGGCTGGGAGTTTGACAGCCTTATACTATGGCATACATTCCTCTTCCCTAATTTTGTTCCCTCTAGGACTTATCACCTAAACCAGGGCTGTCAAACTCCTGGCCCGCGGGCCGGATGCATCACGTGCTGACCACCCCCATGCCCAGTTTAGTGAAGGGGGAAAATGTCCCGAAATGTCACATGATGCTGTTGTGACGACATAAGTTTGACATGCCTGATCTAAACTATGCTGGCTTTACATTCTGGTAGTTGTGAACTAAGCATTTCTGGCATCAAGTTAGGGAGGGCTGATATTAGTTTTCATGTACATTGGGTGGTTATCTTTGCATGGGCCAAGAACGGAGAAATAGTAAATCATGAAGTTAGATGGTGATGATAAATAGCAATAGCACTTAGACACCACTTCACAGTGCTTTACAGCCCCCTCTAAGGGCTTTACAGAGTCAGCATATTGCCCCCCAACGATCTGGGTCCTCATTTTACCCACCTCAGAAGGATGGAAGGCTGAGTCAACCTTGAGCCTGGTGGGATTTGACTTGCCAAATTGCAAGTAGTCAGCAAAAGTAGCCTGCAGTACTGCATTCTAACCACTGTGCCACCAGGGCTCATATGCCAAAATACAATTAAACTTTAAATATAGGTAAAATGAGGGGCCAATTTGAAACCTATTTAAAAGTAAGTGAATTGTTAGTTAAATATTGATATTATCATTTCCCCTTTGTACCTTTATAAAGTCTGCAAAGTTTAAACTTCACTCACTCAGCAAACTGTAGCATAGAAGTTTATACCATAATAAATTTGCTGACCATTCAAAAGTACAGGTAGTCCTCGACTTATGACCAGTATTGAACACAAAAATTATATTGTTAAGTGAGACATTTCTTAAATGAGTTTTGCCCCATTTTACAACCTTTCTTGTCACAGTTATTAAGTGAATCATCACAGTTGATAAGTTAGTAACACGGTTGTTAAGTGAATCTGGCTTCCCCTTTCATTTTGCTTGACAAAAGGTTGCAAAAGATTATCACATGACTTTGGGACACTGCAATGGTCATAAATATGAGTCAGTTGCCAAGCATCTGAATTTTGATCACATGATGAGGATGCTACAAAGGTCATAAGTGTGAAAACGGTCATAAGTCATTTTTTTCAGTGCCATTGTAACTTGTTGAATGTTCACTAAATGAACTGTTTAAGTTGAGGACTACCTGTAGCAGGTCCTCCTCTTCCTTTACTTCAAGAAACTACATTGACCATTTCTTTGTTAATGAGTATTTTCAAAACTAGCCTCAAAGTATATAAAAATCTGCTAAACTCCCTCACTTCCTAGGAAAGATGTCAGCTGACTGGCAGAAGTCTAGAAACATCAAGGCCAGCGGGATGATTTTCTACCGGAGAATAGGTGAATTCATTGTCCTTCATCTTAACCTATCTAATAGGAATATATTTCTAGGGGGAAATGAATGTCATTTTCAGCTCCTGTAGGAAAGGCAGGATATCATTCAAACCAACAAACCAAATTTTGTAACCGTGTGTCCTTTTCTGTTCTTAAAAAATAGTATGGATTTTGCCAAGGCAATTATGCAGAAGTTAGGAAATCACACGGAAATTGCCATTGCAGTCCTAATAACTTCCACAAAACTTTTTTTTTTTCACTTCCTAAGTAGGATAGTTATCTGCCAGCTCATAATATACAGCACAAACAGATCAGAATTTTTGGAGGCAAATTATTCCACTGCGCATTTGTTTTACTCTTTTCTAAAATGATCCAGTAAAATTGTTAACCAGAGATATGAAAAAAGAGAAGCTAACAGAAGTTATATCTTTTTCTAAAACACAGGGTGTTCCTGACCAATGAGAATTTCTGAAGAGGCAGTGAAAATCCCCATTTCCTGTTTTGAGTGAAGGTAGAAGTTGCCACTTTGCTCCAGTTCTGTTTGTAAAGCAAGCCAACAATGTTCTTTGGATGGAGGGAGACTACTATTCTTTGCTTTCTGCTTCTCTATGGTGTGCCCAACTCTTCATCTGGTAAGATCAGGGTGTACCTTCAATATTCTGAATAGTTTACATAACAGAGGGAATGTTGATCTTCCTAACGCTGTTTATTAACGCTGTTTAATATTGGGTGGATTGTTAGTTAATGATAGCAAGCAGTTGAATAATTCCATTTCAAAGCCTGGCCATTGCAAAATGTCCTTCAGATAGGTGGATTGTTTTTTCAGCAAGTTTATTTTAAAAGAGGTGAACTTGATCAGTACCTTTGTGACATAAAAAACTCCCAGCTAGAAAGTTCTCATTGCTCATATTGCCCTGCTGTCATTATTTTTATATTATTATTTTATATTATTATCATCATGATATATAGTTTTTCCTCCCAGAGAAACGCAGCATTTTGTTTTTATGGCTCATTTTGTACAATCACCAACAAAACTAATTAAATAAACCATCAAATGTGAATGCACAGAAAAAGCAGTGGCAGGAAGCTTAAAAATGATCTGGGGCTTGATAAATTGCTATCTTTCTCCTTCCATTGTAGTGTTTGTTAAAGTACAGTTAAATGAAATTTCATTAGGACTAGAGGGTAGCACTGACATTTATGTTGTTTTAGATGTTCAAAAGGAATAATTAATATATGGGCATAAGTGACATTTTCCAGGGGAAGAGGAAACACAGTACATGCTGATACAAATCGATACTTGAGTGAGCCACCCACTAAATTCTTTTACTTAGTATTTTCAGTTGCAAGTGCTATATGTTTTACTGATAACAAGCAAAACAGGTAAAACAAGCAAAACAGGCAAAACAGCTTGCTTATGGTTTAATACTGGCGGGGCTCACAGACAAACTGAACCAGAAACTAATCAACTACATTTTAGTTCAATGTGCTATTTTAATTTAGCAAAGACAATTAGTTTATGGTTGGGAGTTGTTGAAAAACAGACAAGGGCTTTCATTCTGTAATTCTGTTACTATTGCGTTCTGCAAACACCACCACAAAGTAAAAGGAAGAGGTATAACTGAAACATTGACCCATAATTTATTTCTAAATTTCCTTGTATTTTCTTCCCATAAGCCTTCTTAGTTTTTGCCATTGCCCATTCTATCCAAGGATTGGAGACATCTAGCCTAATCCCTAGCTTAGTGAAAAGAAATAAATCATCTGACAAAATATTTTTTCCTCAGGCTGAGAGTTTAAAATAATTGTCCATTTGTAAAATGTTATTCTTGTACAGGTGCCCCTGGGCAGTTCCCTAATTCATTGATTCAACCTGGATCTCCTTTCCCTGTAAAAACAAACAACTCCAGCAGATGCCAATCAGCCTGCAGGAAAGGAAAAGCAATAGTTTTTAAGGCAACCTAGAGAAGGGATCTTTTCAAAGCACAATGAGACTGGAGAATATTTGGTTTCTGGAGTCCTCAAGGGCAGAGACTCCACGCACATTAAATGCAAAAATCTATTAAATAGCTTATTACATTTGGAGCTATGTTTCAGTTCTTGGCTTGCTATACATTACTTGGAATTTACAATTAAGGGTGTGCCCTCGTAATTCATCCCTAAGATTTAGGATTTCTGGAAGTGTACAGATAGTCCTCAACTTAGAACAGTTCATTTCCTGATGGTTCAAGGTACCAAACAGCACTAAAAAAAAAATGACTTATGACCGTTTTTCACACAACCATTGCAACATCCCCATGGTCACATGATCAAAATTCAGATACTTGACAGCTGGTTCATATTTATGAAGGTCTCTGTGTCCCGGGATCATATGATTACCTTTTGCGATCTTCTGACAAGCAAAGTCGACAGGGAACATGGATTCCCTTAACAACCGTGTTGCTAACTACAACTGCAGTGATTTACTTAACAACTGTAGCAAAAAAAACAAAAAACGACGGTCATAACATTTGGCAAAATTCACTGAACAAATGTTTAGCTTAGCAACATAAATTTTGGGCTCAATTGTGGTTGTAAGTTGAGGTCTACCTGTTTGAACTTTGAGAGGACACAATGAGCACTATAGGTATTCGTGTGTGTGTGTGTGTGTGTGTGTGTGTGTGTGTGTGTGTTGCATTAAGACATATATTCTATCCAAAGAAATAAATCATCTGATAAAATATTTCTTCCCAGGCTGAGAGTTGAAAAGACTTGTCCATTTGTACAATGTTCTTCTTACACAGGTGTCCCTGGGCAGTTCCCTAATTCATTGATTCAACCTGGATCTCCTGTCCCTGTAAAGACAAATGATCCCAAAGTTCAAAGAGCTGCTAGGCTTGGGGTCTATAAATACAACAACAGTTCAAATGATATCTTTTTGTTTAAAGAATCTCACATAAATAAAGCCACAGTGCAGGTAAGTACTGCTTGATTCTTATGGCAATAAATGCAGTGAATTCTTTTGCTGATTAAAAATGTAAAACATAACCTGCTTTTTTTTGCTCCTGTCCTCGTGGCCTGGTTATTTTTTTTCCTCGAGAAATGGTACAGGTCACTGATAACATTACATAAAAAGACAGAAAATATGCATTTTCAAACTCATTGTATACACACAATAACTTAAAGCTTTCTTTCAATAGATATATTAAAATTATAAAACTTCTCTCTGTTTCCAAGGAGGCTTTTAATATGCAAAAAAGGCTTAATGAGCTTACAGCTTTTTCTCAACTTTGAATTTAGCCTGATCACTAAACATATTCTATGCTATGCTATAATATGCCCATCAGTGCTATGAATGTAATGCCTAATCTAATCTAATAATAATGTAATAATCTAATATATACCTATTCCTATGTATAGTATGAATCTAAGTCATGTCCCAAAAATGCTTTTCAAAAGACAACTGAACTTTCTTGATTTTTTTTCCCCTTGAAAATGTTTCGCTTCTCATCCAAGAGCTTCTTTATTTCATGAACTGAAGAAGTTCTTGGATGAGAAGCGAAACATTTTCAAGGAAAAACCCAGGAAAATCCAGTTCCCTATTGGAAAGCACCTTTGGGACAACCATGACCTGGATGATTGAGAAGCTCCATAGACAGTCCTTTTCCTTTCACTTTCTCCAGTCAAACTTTTTGAATGGTTTATCAAAATATAAAATGCAAACAGAAATTAAAAAAATAGAAAACTGGGGGGAGAGGAAGAGAAAAGAAAAAAAAGTGTAAAGAGGGAAAAAGGGGGGGGAAAGGCACCAACTTCCTCCTTAGCACAGTAGAAGATAACATTACAAGTGCAACTTTTTACTTTTATACAATATCTACAAGCCATTTCTATAACAACAAACCAGAGGTGGTATTCAGCAGGTTCTGACCAGTTCTTCAGAACCGGTAGCGGAAATTTTGAGTAGTTTGGAGAACCGGCAAATCCCACCTCTGACTGGAGATTTTACAGTATCCTTCCCCTGCCACGCCCACCAAGCCACGCCCACAGAACCGTTAGTAAAAAAAATTGAATCCCACCACTGCAACAAACCTATCTAGTTAGCAAAAACAAAATCAAAGTTTAATTTTTTCTCCATTGAAAGCATAAAATCTGGAAGCAATTTCAAAAAAGAAACAAGGTTAGATATATTCACTTCTTTGGATAAAAGAAGCAATGTGACCATCTCTACTTCTCTTTGCTATAGGGAATAATATATGCTTCTGTTAACTCATTAATCTTTATCATACTTCATATTAAGAGAATCCTTTATATTGTTTCAATTTTTTTAAACCCTAAAGGGAGAAAACATCTTTTCTAGTTTTGATATTTTATAACTTTAAAAAATACTCAAGGATTATACAAGGGGGAAACCCCTTCATTTTAAACCTAGAACCCAAAACACAAAACTACATTAGAGCTTTCATTCAATTATATATATCACATCAATATAAATCCAATTAACTCCAATTAGCTCAAATCTCTCCCTCGAGTTTATTCTCATGGAGTAAATCTTTTTCTTCTCTTATTTTCAAATTTAATCAAAACTATTTTACAAACTTTGGGAATTATTCAACATTACATAAAAAGACAGAAAATATGCATTTTCAAACTCATTGTATACACACAATAACTTAAAGCTTTCTTTCAATAGATATATTAAAATTATAAAACTCCATCCTAAGTCATTAAACTTAAGTCACTCTTTTGTTTATAGAATGAGATCTTTTTCTTCTCAGGAGTGTCTATGAAGTCTCTTTCCTTCAAGAAATTCTCAGCCTTACTTATATCTGTAAGGAATATGAGTCACCAAACAGGTATTTGGGTTAGATAGACATATTAAAACTGTATCTTTAAGAAAATGCAAAACTGTAGTTGGGCGTGGTTTCTCAAACGGCCATAAGATGGAGCCAGAAACCTGGGTTGTTTTAGTCTTAGTCTGAGTCTCAGAAGAGAGTGTGAGTGTATCTCTGTTTCCTTCTGTTGGAAAGTATTGCCGTTGCTCCATTTTTCCTAATTGACTGATATTCATGGATTTGATGTAAGTCTGATACTGAACAGTTTTTGACACTGGACTTTGTTACTGGATTATCCCTGGATTGAAAACTGACTGATTTAACCTGTGAATGACTTTGGACTGCCTATTTTGAACTCTGCATAAACCTTTATTGAAAGTAAACCTCTACATTTACTGTACAGTGTATCTGTATGCTGTGTGTGTATTATTCAAACACTATTCTCTATACGTCTCCCTGTATGCGCTCATTCTCCTAACGGGGAATTACCTCAACACTGGTTATGGGCCCAGGCCATACCAGGCTCAGATAACTGAGAGTTAGTGTGAATACACAGTACTGTTTACTGTTTAATTGTGGGTTACTATCCTAGTAAAGATGGCACAAGTCACTTCAACAAGTCTATCACTGGTAATCTGGTTGGGTGGAACAAACTATGTTTCCTGGTCTATGAAGTGCAATCTACTTCTGCGTAGAGAAGGTTTATGAAATGTAGTTCAAGACCCACCGGATGTAAATGTTTGGGATCCAGAAAACGAGGATGATGCCAAGAAGCTTGCTGACTTTAAACAGAACAATGAACGAGCTCTTTACTAACACTGAGTGACCAGCAGCTAGTCCATATTTGTGGAGAAGAGTCTGCTGCTAAGTGTTGGGAGAATTTGAAGAAGATTTATGTTCGTGACAGTGTAGGTGCACACATACATCTTACACGTAAACTGTTTAGAGCACATCTTCTGAAAGGTAGAGATATGTTAGCTCATTTAAACTTAATGAAAAGAACTTTTCAAGAGTACATGAAAAAAAACTGATATTTTCAGAGCTGCATCAAGTTTACATCATTCTTTCCTCATTGGATGAAAGTTATGATGATTATGTATCTTCACTGGAAGTCCTGCCCAGAGATAAACTGACATTGACTGACATAACTGGAAGATTGTTAGAAGAAGCAAGAAGATGGCTGGATAGAGACCAACTGAGAAAGGAACAACCACAAGAAGAGGATTTGTCTTCAACTGCCTATACTGTTAGGAAATGTTTTTTTTTTTGTGGGGCTAGGGGACATATAGCTAAATTCTGTAAGAAGGGAAAACAACAGAATACTGATAAACACCAGAAGGCTAAGAAGAATGTTAGTTAAGCTATGTCTAGCAATTCAGCTGTAAACCATGATTTGTGGGTTGTTGGTAGTGGAGCATCGCAATGTATTACTAAAGATAGAAAAAGGTTTGTAAAGATATCCACGAGTAAACAACATGTATCATTGGCAAATGGATGGAAGATTAAAGCATCAGGTGAAGGTACTGCATATTGTTCTTGTATAAACGAACATTTAACTATATTATATGTACCTAAACTGAAATTTAATTTGTTATCAGTAAGGGCTTTAGTTAATCTTGGTTATGTAGTAACCTTTAGGGGAGATAACTGTATAATAGAGAAAGAGGGTAAAAGTGTTACTGCTACTTTAAAAAATGATTTATATGTGATACATGATGACCAGTTGAAGATGGCTAACTCAGTTTATAACAATGTTAAGCCACATGATGAATGTATACATTTGCTGCATAGACGTGGAGGGCACATTAATTTCAAAATGCTCAAACAAACTGTTGAATTGTCAGAGGGAGTAAAATTGAAACCCTGTAGCAAGTATTTAAACTGTAATGCTTGTAGCCAAGATAAAAGTAAGGTTACTCCTGCAAACAGACTTAATGGGTTTAAGACCAAAGAACCTTTAGAGGTTGTGTTTGCTGACATAATTGGTCCTAAGAAACCAAGTTTAGGAGGTGCCTGTTATATTTTGAGTATTATGGACCATTACTCACGATACGGTTTCTGCTATCTTATTAAAAACAAAACAGAAACATTCCAACATTTCTTTAACTGGCTAAGGTTTGCTGAGAGAAAAATGAAAAGTAAAGTAATTACTTTAGTAACTGATAATGGGACTGAGTTGGTTAACAAAAGATTCCAAACTATGTTGAAATTGGCTGGTGTTGAGCATAAACGTTCTGCACCTTACAGACTGTCGTGTCCGGCGCAGGAAGGAAGCTCGGAGTCAGTGACTGGTTTCAGCTCTTTATTATGCTCCGGTTACAGCTTAAGCTTGGAAGGAGAAGCGGCGGCTTTTTATTTCCAAGCCGCGGCGGCCGCGGCCAATGGCACCGCTTCGAATCTCCCGCGCTTGGTTCTACCAATCACGGGAGATTCTTAACGGACCAATCCGTGCGGCTCGCTCGACCAATCCGGTCGCCGTGCGCTTTAGCCAATCGCGGCGTGGGGTTTACGAGTATGTTAATTGACTGTACAGAACACCCCTCCCCTCTTGGTTCGGTCCTACGTAACGTAGTCCCGTAGGTAGGCAGGGCTTCGTACTTGCCTACTGGACCTGCGCAGGTTAGTTGTTGTTTGGCTCTCGACCTGTTCGGTCGAGGCCTCTGCGTCTCTTGGCTTCGCCGATGGAACCGCCTGGAAGGTGTTGCCGGGCCTGTCGTTGCAGCTCCCTCCCGGTCTACCCGGGTCGGTCGAGCTGCGACTCTCGCCGCTCCCGCCTGGTCTTTCCGGGCTGGTCGAGCTGGCCTGGCTGTTTCTTCCTGGTGAGGCTTCGAGTTGGCTGTTATCCAGTGAGTATTGCTGGTTATTTTCTATTCTTTCTTGACCCCCTGTATATTCCCTCCCCTCTTGGTTTGTGTTGATGGGGTCGTCTGTGTTTGCTTGCGTGTCGGTTGTGTTTCTTGCCCTTGATCTTAACTGATCGATGTGGCGTTTCCATGATTGTCCGTCAGTTGTTTGCAGCCTGTAGGAGTGTGGCCCTGTCAGTTGGGTTATGGTCGCCAGTACCCATAGTGGGTCTCCGGTAAGGTTCTTTGCATAGACTGCATCGCCTGGTGCAAAAACCCGGTGCTTGCTTGATGAGTCTGGG